ATCAATACAAAATGTATCTTCGTAATAAGAATACAAATTTCTCCTTCAAACCAGATGCCTGCCATGTAATTAGCATTTTGTTTCTACCAACATGTTGCAAGTATGCGGGCGCTCATAAGCATTCCGTAAATTGAAATTGGAGCGGTATATTCCAGTGTAATACATGTCAACCTCTTGAATATTACGAAAGTTTTCTGCACCTGTTTGGTTAAAGCTTCTATTCTTTTAGATTCCGGATAAAATAGTTTCCTTGGGTGTGAATTAATAACACTTTATGTAAAGGAATTATGTAATTGTGACTTCCATTGTTTCCTGTTATGTTAACTATATTATCACGGGCCACTAACATCATTTTAACAAGTATCTAACAAGAGCGAAATACCACAAAATTTTAACCAAAATGCGCAAACTGTTAATGTTCAAGCATTCTGAATGTTATACATTGATACAAGGTGTCCGTCCGTTTTACTATTTTTCTATTTTTCGTTTTCTACTTTTTTTACTATTACTATCTCCGAAAAGGCACGAGCTACAAGATAGGTTAAATTATAAACTAGCAACATTCTTTACTTATTTGCAGAAATTTGTATCCATCAAAACTTATCAATTTAAACTGGGTATCCAAAAATTTACAATTTTTGGAATAATCTACTAAACAAATTTAAGCGTTTTTCAGAAATTGCCCTCTATTTGATAAACTACAAAGTAATTTGCAAGAGTTTTTTATGGCCATGCCCGCTTCAGAGAAGCTGATTAACATTTTCATATTTTGTTACTTACTTTTATGCTTATCATTTTATCTTCTTGAAAACAGACATTTGTCGGACGCTAACAATAGATGAGTAGATATATAGATAGATAATTTAGCGTTTCACAATATTGGGGCTATATACACGCAATATATGGTTATTCCAAAATAGACCCAGATGCGTCATACCGCATCTGCTTCAACTCAATTCCCTTTAATTAGTAGGGCACATGAATTCGATCAGTTGGCAAGTTCTCGTCTCCATTGACTCATTTGTGTGTCTTGGATCGCAGCCCTTTCAAAATATCAATCCCTATCCTCTAGAGTTCCTAATAAACATTCAACTATAACAATACAGGCTGTCGGATCCAAACGACAGAGAAAATATTTTCTCGATTTTATTATAAAAACATACTAAATTTGTGTCATTTAGCCGGGAAAGAGGAAACTTTTAATATCAGAAATTTTGCTGTAGTTTTTGCAAGTGTAAGCAAAACATCTAAATTTGTTAAATATTGCTACTCCCCAAGATACCAAATGGAGATGATATACATTTCCATTTTAAATCAAATGGTTTCTAGAAATCTATCATGATTGTTTTATCTCTAATGCTAGTCGATTCATAACACTCATTTAATTCTTTATGAATCAGTTGGAAACGTTTTATGGTTTTGTTCTACGGTTTCGATAGTAGAGCAATTTTTATCAAATTTAGTTAGTTTTGGTTATTTTTAACGCTATAAACCAATTAACACATTTATTAATTGGGGTTAAGTTCTGAGGAGGCCACAGGATGATTGGCGAAACGGCAGCAAGTTTGATTTATAAACAACCAATGCAGGAGGAATCCAGAAAATTTATAAATAGTAAGTTCCTTTTATTTCAAAAATGAATCTCACGAAGGTGTTGTCTCAGTTTGGGAAACAATTATTGAATATATGATTGAATTAAGAACTGCGGTCATCACCATGTCTGATTTTTGTTATGGTTCTATAGTTATAGAAGGACCCAAGCTGCGACCAAGTTATAAGGAGTTTAAGAAAAAAACTTTTTCTGCATAGGGTAGTCAACTTATGTTCTGCATTTTGAAATATTTTTGCGATCTAATTCTATCTAAGTGGTTTCAAGACTACCTATTTAAAAAAATGACTCTCATAGTGATCCTTCATATTTAAGAGTTAGATCAACTATTTTATTTATTCATTAATTTAAAAATATCAACATTTTTTTAATATTATCTAAATGCGCATAGAGCGGACCAAGGCACAATCCAATATTTTATATGCAGTCGGAGAAAACCCAGCACTAAAACTAGAAACAAAAGCAAAACCTCTATATACTCAGTGGAAACATCTATATGATTACTAAAAGATACACGTTGACGTTGGTGATGTCTATTAGGACCAACGCTTAGTATGAACGGCGAAAAGCAAATCTTTCTACGTTTTAATATGCATGAACCCAGTATTTACAATATTCTGGTTCCTACAATTTCTTTTGCCTTAGTTTCAAATAATGCACTAACGATACAAACCCTATATTCCACTTTCCTCCATTTTCATTTCCGACTAGGCAATTCGTTGTAATTCTCCACCAATTCATCTCGGTAGGGAGTAATAACAACTTTAATAGCAAAAAGGCATTTCCGGAATCTCTCCGATATTAAGTTAAGCACATTTTTGCAACAGCCGAAAACATTCCTATAAAATTGCAAATTTTCCAGAATCGATTCGGACATCCTTTAGATTTTGCATTGGGTGACCGTATATAAAGTAGGTCGACTGTGAGATACGAACGGGTGCCAAACTGTTCCACGTAGATTGCCCGTTGACCTTCAGCCAGAAACAAGCTGGCCCCCGCGCTGGGGCCAAAATTGAATTACGAAGGTCGATATGTTCCCCCGGACCCTTGGCAATCAAATTATCTTATACTCGATCGGTGGTATTACGGGCCTGGCAAATTATTGGTGAAAAATCAACCTCGCCAACCGAGCGGTCAAATCCATGGCAAAAATTAGAAAATATTACTTTGGCACGTGAAGGGCAAATTTCAGTCAGCGATGAACGAGGTGTTTTAAAAATTAGCATTGTAATTAAAAACCTTTCAAACTTAATACAGCTTATTAAATGTAGGGGTTTCCTAACCCACCATTTTGAATCGATTTCGATAGCAAATTCAACATTTTTGAAGAAGGCTACAAGACTTGAAGTGCAGTGTAGAATACAGTTTTGTTGTAAAATTTTTGAGCCAGGTGAAAAATTATTGTCACTTATTTTTAAGACTTAATTGATATATAAAAAAGGCATTTAAGCCAAAATTTATGCGATATTGTGTCCTTATGCGTTGTAGTTAAAATATAGATTTCCTTGATATATTTTTCAGTATATGGAAACATTGAAAATGTTAAAAAAAAACGCCATAAATCAAATACAAAAGACAAACAAGAATGTGGTACCGAAGAAAGATATACTCTGAAGTTTGTCAAATATTGCAAAACCACGATCGTCTAATTTGGTTTATTTAAACATAAACACACAATTCAAAAATATGCAGCGAGATAAGAATCAAAAGTTACTCCCACAACTTCAAATCAGCAAACATATTCCATAAAGCAGTTTCGAGTCTACAAGGACATATTACATCGCTAGAAGCTGACTTTTTGCAAGATTGATTTCTAATTTCTTAATAAATAACGACTCGAGTTTGATCAGCATAAAACAGTTCACAAATGAACTTACAAGAGTTAGTTCAACGTTAATCTCAGCTATGCTTGTTTAAAGGATCCTGAAATCTTAGATAACTACGATTCTCATCTATAGCGGTGAAATCAAAAGTTAAATGAATGTGGTGCGTTACGGTAAATCATAACCATTTCTTTAAAAACCTACCTTACTCTTTGTGAAACCCTCGATTAATTGGTTACTGTACTATAATTGAAGAGCAGTATGATTAAATTTGATACTGACAACTAGCAGTCAATTTTGACAGCGTTGCATGGTTTCAACGTTTTTTTTTAATATGTGGACATTAGGAGCGACTTTTGCAAAAAAATTAGAAACGATTATTTTTTGAAAATCCGACTATGCTGCGCCCTCGGAAACGTTCAAATTTCAAATTTTGTTTTCTTTTGAAGTTGGGAAATACTTTAATTATATTTTTAACTCAAATATCCCGTTAGTAATGAAGTAAATTAAACAAAGAAAAATTGGAGAAAAACAATATTTCGCGACAGTTTCATTTTGCTAAGATTCTTAAAAATGAAATCGCCAATCTCTTTGTTTGACGTAAACTACGCTTATAATAAACTAAAAAAATAACAAAACATATTGCAACTTTACTACATTCATTAGCAAGTTTTACTGTGAAACTATGAATGGAGGTACAGCGTACGAACCCAAGTGACATTGTGAAATTACCATATTATCTTTGTCAAAGACCTCCGAGAAATATGTGTTTATCTAAATTTTAAACTGCGATAGAGAGAAACACGTACAAACCTTATGATAACACAACCGTATATAGTAAACGCACTATATTTTGAGCCGTGCGTCGTTGTAATGAGAGAAATACATTTTGTCGTTCATTGACCTCTCACATTGCAAACGAAAAGTATACTTTCCAAGTATACCTGTAGTTTCTTTAGGAATTCCGCTCTAGAAGTGCAATTTGGAATGTAAATTGGTCATCACTCGAAACTGGTAAGCAAAAAACAGTTGTTTTCAGAAACTGCATGCACTGCATTTTTTTTGCAAATTTCAACCAAAAGTGAGTAAAATATGTGGTTACTTGTGTTTTTTTTTTGGGGGATTAATAAATACGATCGCCAATATTATATATTTAACTTGCCTCAATTAACAATAAAAGTATAGTCGAAAGTATTTTTATTTGCCTAGAGGAACAACCAACTTTCAATAATTGAAAGCTACTTTTTTTGAGAACCGATGTTTAAATTTCGAGGTTAGATTGGAAAAAAGTAAAGAAGTATTAATTCAAAATCCACAGAATACCAAAAAATAGTTTCCTAGCAAATTGTCTGTCTAGTTTACCTCTGAAAGCAGTCCACAACGCTTGCTTGTCCGTTTTAATTGTATAGGGGTTTATATAGTACGTGCATGAAATCCCAGACGTTTTTAAAAAATGATATTCGTTTAAAGATTATCGTCTTATATGACCCAGACCGCGCATATCTGGGTGCAACAATTTCCAAATCCCAATAATAAAAACGCCAAGATAATTTTTTTAGCAGTTAGCATGATTTTTTTATTGCGTTCGCGATGAGCCTAGGCTATATCTGATCGTTAATTTAAAAATCGCCAAGGTGTTTAATTGACAACGGACCACCGTCGGCTGTCAGCGATGAAAGAAAAATTTAAAATCGGTGAAGATGATGAAGGTTGGTGGTTATTTTTGTCTAATCATATACGGTGAATATGAAAACTGTACATGGATGTCATTAGAATACATATCTTAATTTCGTTTCATTCAAAATATTAGGTACAGCACATCATATGGAATATATATCAACTTTTAGTAAGGAAATATTTTTTAAAAAATTCGTACGTACATAAATTTTAGAAAAGCCTTGTATGTTTATTTTATTTTATCGAAATATTTTTGAATGTCCAATTTACTTGATATTATCAAGTGGGCGTTCAAAAAGACCTTTTGTCTAACATTATCAGAATAGACTTTTATAACCCTTAAAAAGATAGCGTTTATCAAAAACAACATAATTTACCACAGACAAACTTGGATAAACAATTGTATGAAAAGCAATTACATTTTATGGAATTGGCTTAAGTATTTAAATAGGTTTTATTAATAATCATTATTAAAAACTACCCATTTGTAAGTAATTAATCACATTCATACTAGTATATATATATATATATATATATATATATATATATATATATATATATATATATATATATATATATATATATATATATATATATATATATATATATATATATATATATATATATATATATATATATATATATATATATATTAATATATAAATATATATATATATATATATATTAATTAAATAAAGTTATTTTAAATAGTAATATAGTTTTGGTTAGCAGTTATTTGATAACCATTACAAAGATACCTTTAGTTTTGCTTAATTACATTTAATGTAACCGCGGCTTCTAAAGAATTTGTTCTTTTTTAATATTTCATTTTAAATGTTGCAATATCCTTTACAAATTTTGACATTTTAAGATGAGAGCTTCATCGTAATATAAATATCTCATAATTTTATCTTTATGCAGTGTTTTTTTTATGCCAAAACAGCGCATCATTCTTTTTTAGGCAAACGACAGTTGCGTAATAGATTTAAGTCTATATTAAAAAAAAGACTTCCCATTTTGTCATGGCTTCCCAAATATACATTAGGCTTCTTTCTCTACGACTTGTTGGCAGGTTTTACAGTGACCTTAACTCAGATCCCTCAAGGCATAGCCTATGCCATAGTGGCGGGTAAGAACGACAATATCCCCAATCAGATAAATAAAACTGTATTAATTGTTTTCTCTAGGATTGCCCACGGAATATGGAATATACGCCGGTATCATGGGAGGCTCCATGTATTTCATTTTCGGGGGCTGCAAAGATATCAATATCGGCCCTACGGCCATATTGGCGTTGATTGTGCAACCTTACGTAACACTTATGGGTCCAGACGGTGCAATATTAATAACATTCACTTCCGGATTTTTCATATTCCTAGCTGGGGTGCTCCATTTAGGTAAATTACCTCATTAGCGTCGAACTAAAAGTTGCAATTTGTAGCTAGATTTTAATTTTAAATTCTGAAATAGTAATTTAGATTAATAATTCTTTCATTTTTATAATTTAAGATAATATGTATAACTATAATAAAAGTTTACGACCAAAACATACTTACTTGTATGGTTTGGGTAGTTGTTTTGATATAACATAAGATCAGAGATATGGTAATTCTATCATAATACAATACAATTTAAAAGTAGATCTATCACCTACTGTTAGTCTTTTCCAGGGTTCCTAGTGGAGTTTTTTTCCTACCCGGTCATTTCGGGGTTTACGACCGCTGCCGCAATTAGTATTGGGTCCACCCAACTAAAATCACTAATGGGAATACCCGGTCCTTCCGGCACCTTTTTGGAAGCGTGGGAATCATTTTTCCGAAACATCAGGCAGACGCGAAAATGGGATGCGACTTTAGGGTTTACATCCATCATTATTCTCTTAGCTCTCAGGGTAATATATTTTAGCAAAACCAAGCTTAACCAGTCATCGACACAACTTTAGGAAATCAGAGTGTTCGGATCATTAAAACACAGATCCGATTGGTCAACGAGCAGAAATGTCTTGGGTAACTTCGTATTCTATATTTCATTGGGAAGGAACGCTCTGGTTGTCATGGCCGGAACCACAATTGCCTACGTAGCTGAGAAATACTACAATTCGACTCCCTTTGTTCTTACTGGTAACACGCAGTTTCATGTCAACGGGTAGTATCTATCCGTTTCTCTTTTAGGAAACGTACAGTCAGGGCTACCTTCGTTCGGGTTACCTCCATTCGGAACCGTGTTTAATGGAACCGACATCAGTTTCAGCGAGATGCTGCACGAGTACGGCCTCACGCTGGCATTTTGTCCATTGATTGCGTTACTTGGACATGTGTCTATTGTCAAGGCGTTCAGTGAGTGACGTTACGTGTATTTTAGAAAACAGGCCACTATAAGCCATTTGGAATGAGCAAATTATTTTCCACCGTTTGTAATTTAAAGAAAATATCCCAACAGTACCAGATGGTTTACACGGAACATTTAAATTTAGTGAATTCTTTCAAAGATTTCCAAAATAAAATGATATAAAAAATAAAGAAGTGGGTGGTTATAGGATATTTCTAAAATATATAGACATGGTAAATTTTATCCGCATACTTTTTCCAAACCTCCTGGAAAACATCGGTTTTCTGTTTTGTGTAAGGTTACTAGAAATTTTTTTTTCAAAAAGTGTAAGGTATAGGTTTCATATGAAATTGAATGTTAACAAAACCGATGTTATTTTTTATTTGTAATCAAAATGAAAATCAAATCAAAATCTAATAGAGATGGCGAGGTAGTAATATTTATGTCTATTGACATAAACAGTTCAACGTACAACTAAGTGAAATCAGTGTGAAGTTATCTCACCATTTTCTAATATTTTAAATTAAAGTAAAATAAATAATTAGTCTAGAACTAGAATTCACTCGCCTTGCACTCGTACAATTATATTTTTAGTTGTTTTCAAAACATTAACAATCAATAGACGGATGAAACATGGTCGATACGTACCAAGCGCCATGTTAAGGATTATATTCTATTCCGTCGGAATTTTCCAATACTGATCAGACAAGTGCGCTTCAATCTTCTATAATTGGTGTAGTCAGTGGGAGAGGTTGCTCTAACATAAATTTCTAGAATCAAGGTGTGTTGGGACAACCAAAACCCAGACCACCAACGAAAAATTGCTTTGATATTGTTGTTAATTAATCAACTGATTGTCAATAGAAACATCCCAATGCACCAGTCAACATAAACGTTATGGTTGTCCACAGCCAAGGGCCAAATCATCGACGCTACTCAAGAACTAATAGCTTTAGGTATTTGCAACATGGCGGGCTCTCTGGTAAGGTCAATGCCAACGACAGGTTCATTTACTAGGACGGCGGTCAATAATTCCGCAGGAGTAAAAACTACAGCTGCAGGATTGATCACGTCTTTAATGTTATTATCATCGTTGACATTTCTGACTGGTACATTCACTTACATACCGAGAGCTACCTTGGCAGCAGTCATTATAGTTGCGATGTACTATCTATGCGAATTCGAAACATTTGTTATCCTGTGGAAAACCAAAAGTAAGTCATTTTTTAAAAAATATTTTAATTGTTCCTTATTAACTCGCGATTGTAACGACTTGTTGGTGGATTGTTTCCTAGAACTTCATCATTAATAATGAATTAGAAAGATTTGTTTTTCAAAGAAACTTGCACAGGCTACTGCGTCGGTTGTTGTCGAACTTGACAACGTTTCGCCAATCATCCTGTTGACTTCTTCAGAGCTTAACTGATAATAACTAATAATAACCTCCCATTCTTATATATTCTTATCAATAGAAAACCAGATCTAACATTGGGTCATTACGTTTACAGAAATCCTATGCATACAGACCGATATCCAAAAATCATCTTATTTACAGAGCCTTAAAACTATCCCCATACCCAGAATTAAAACACCTTCCCTCTATTCTTCTCTGTAATAATTTCCACATTAAAGATATTAGACGTTCCATCACAAAATAAACTTCACTACAACCTTCTAATTAGCAATGAAGCCCAAAGCAATCTCACACTTGCCACTGTTATCTTTCGATACTATCAAAACATAAAAATATAAAGTGAAAACCAGATTTACCATTTGTCTATGAATCACCAACATCTTCGATCCGTCAAAGACAAAATTCCATTTGAAATGCCAGGAGTTTACAACATTCCATGAATATGCAGCAAAAAATACACTGAAGAGACCGGACGAAAAATATCAACTAGGCTCAAAGGATATGAAAGAGGAACTCATGAGCAGTTGAAGAGCACAATCACGAAACCACACATAAAATTTTATTCGATAAAACTAAAATTCTAACCTAACAATCTTAACCGCGACTCAGGTCTTTACCTGTCACCAATATGGGAATCGGGAAGCAAATAGGATGATTGGCTTCTTCAGAAGTTTGTAAAAGGCAAAAAGATTTATGTTTGCATGACGTTAAATAATATTTTTCCCATTGGACTGTGATTTTAGAGCTAGACTTTATACCGTTCCTGCTAACCTTGCTGTGTTGCCTGTTGATCAGTCTGGAATTTGGCATACTCCTTGGCATAGGAGCGAATTTGGTGTTCGTTTTATACGAAGGTGCAAGGCCTAAACTGTACATAGAGCGGTTATCAATTTCCGATAAGACCGTTTACATTGTTAAGCCCAAATCCGGCTTGTACTTTCCATCCTCAGAACACATCAGACAAAAAGTTTTGAATAAATGCCCCGAGACGGACAGCGTGGTAGTTATCGACGGCCAGTTCGTGAGGAATCTCGATGTCACAGTTGCGAGAGTGAGTAATCTCCTGTTCAATTCGCATTACTTTTTGATATGGACTCTCGCCTTTTTAGAATTTGGCAGATTTGTTGGGCGATTTGAGGGTGAGAAGGCAGAGGTTGATTTTTTGGAATTTCAGCAAATGTAACACTCACGTCATCACAGGGAACAACAAAAAGTTGTTGGCACATTTCGAGACTGGTACTTTGGATGATATTTTACAAGGTAACAAATCTGTCTTGCAATATTCGTAACTAAAAATTTTAACTAAATAAATGCAATTTACTTTTTAGAGGAAACAGAATCGCTGACTGCAAATGGTACTACACTAACCTAACTGGATTGGACTATCGCAGAATACTTTGTTTAGTTCACAATATGTTTTCGAGATGCAATTGTTTTTTATATTATCAATTAAAGAAACTGCAGTTAGAAGATCGAAACTCTGTAGAAATCTCCTCAAAAATGTCTTTCTAAAATAACGTTTATTAAGACTTTATGAAGAAAAACTTGTACGATACGGTAGTGGCATTTTTCTCTTGTCGAAAGGTTTTAAAAATTATGTAGAGTTCTACGGGCTAGAAAAACACAGACGGGAAATTATTTGGTTGTTGGTATTGGTAATCAGTTTTTAACTCACATTTACGGGTGTTTTTACCACTCGTAACTCAGTTCATCTACCGAAATGTACCAAGTTTATCCTTAACAGTTTTATTACAATGGATAATTTGTTCGTAATATTTCATGGTTTTGGCTGTATATGAGCGTTTAATACTCTTTACACTTTGTAATTGAAACAGATTAAAAAGCAGTATTTATTATTTATTATTTATTCATTAATGTATAGATAATATAACCTTACATAATCTTCCATAATTCTGAATGTCAAGGGTAACCTCATCTTGCCCAACTGTTTTCTTTTGTTACTACCAATCGTCGTCGTGTGATAAATGAATTTAAACTAAGTTTTTAATCAGATGCGCAACCTACCCAATACTCATCTTAAGGTTATTTTTTTATTATATAATATCCTGCTTCCGCATTTTGGCAAATATTAATGCAACCTTCGTTTTGTGTAGCTTCGACTCTCAGAAAGACTGTTTTATCTATTTATCTACTCAACTACCATTTTATGTAGTTTTAGATCATCTTTTCCTTCAAATATTTGTATTTGTTCTTGACTAATGGTATACACCACTACACAGATCCACGACTTCCACAGATTTTTATTATCCCGAGCATTTATTGCTAGGTTTGTCTCTACTATCAGAAAATACTGGTAGAAATTATATTATCTTAAAGCTTTTATCAAAGTGCGTTTTGGGATGGTTGTGTCTAGTCTATGTCTTACTAAGAACAGCACATTTTTTATCCTGGATATTTTGGTACATAATTTTTTTTTGCCCGTTATATTTTAAAATAATAATGACCATTATCAAAACAGCATTAATTAATATAATTAATTAATATAAAGAACATCAACACATAATATATGGATATATTTTATGTGTTGCCTATATGCCGATGTTCTCACGAACACACGATTCGCAACAATAGGCAACACCGCCAGAGGCAGCGCAGACAACAAAACAGTTCGTCACAAAATAATCATAAAAGACTCATTTATCGAGGCGGAGATAAAATGCATCATTTTCATTATAATACATGGCATTTCTATCCGATGTATGCTAACAATAAACCATTAGGGTGAGCGATTTTATTTTAAAGAAATGTATATGCTACCAAGATGATGGATTCCATACGAATTAATGACGACGATTTATACGAACAGTCAAGCAGTAGCCTGGCAACACCGTACACGCCTTTGCTTTCGAGGGGTAAGGATTATATTTAATTATGCTTCATCGCATCCATAATAGTTGTTTTGTTCTAATACATAGAATTCAATTCGGTTTGAACCAGTGGTACTGTACACCCTTTTGTTGGACAAATATGTCAGAACCATTGTTTGGCGAAGGTGCCAGTTTAGATACTGACATCCTTCAATCGTGTGTCGTCGTTACGGAACGCCATGGTTGTTAAGCTGGTAAAGCTGGGCGGGCGTCGTCCGATTGTAAATCTGGCAACGTACATTTCAAAATGCACTTTCACAATATATCCACTTAGGTTATAAATTAAACATTTAACGTTCTTTATTCAGAACCAGTTTTTAATTGCTTAACAAATAATGCGAAACAAAATGCATTGTGAAAAGTAAATAAGACTAAGTAAAGCGTCTGATTTTGAACAGTATATATTACAATATTTCAAATTTCAAAGTTTTTTCCTGAAATAAATACTCGACTAACTCCTAACTAAATCAAACTTTCTTTATGCCTGAATATGAACGACCCGAGTGAGCGACTTGAATTTAAGACACCCCGTACCACTGAGAAAAAGTTTATATCGGTTGTTCCTCACGTTACCCTGAACGGTTTTTTAAAAAGTTGATTGATTGATTAATTCTTATAGATGTAAAAAAAAACAAATTGAAATAAATTATCGATCATTTCAATATTGAAGTTGCCAATAATAAAATTATATAGATAAACAAGTGTCTTAAATCGCCGTAACTTTTAACGACAACGACATAAAAATTTTAAAAAAGCGTTTTTAGTTCATATAATAAAATACTGTTTTGGGATGTGTTGGTTTTGTTGTAAACTGCTAATTCGGATCTAATTAGATACAAATTATGAAACCTTGTGGCGTCCCACAGCTAATTGTTATTTTTTCAGTAAAAAAATGCCCCAATGTGTTTTTTATAATTTCATTTGCTTTTCATTCACACATTTTCATTTAAAATTTAAGTTTGTTAGCACGCTACCGACTATCCAACTATAAAAATACTCCTTAAACTAAATTGTTAGGGGACGCTTATTATACTGGCATTAATATTTCTCTTTGAAACGAAGCAAGCCGGGACATTTATAACATGTGCTAAGAAATTACTCAGTTCAATATTGACATGATATTCAAGAATACCCAATTGTGACCGACAGCAACTGTTGTCGACATTTTAATTCTGGGAAAAATGGCAACGTCGCTTTTATTATTTAAATTTCTATTTTTAGTTACCACGAGGTATCGATTAAATATCAACATTTCAGTCGCTCCGTAACTTCTTTAAAATTCATTAAACATTTACTTTCATCTATAGAATGCATGTTCCGCTATTGACAGATATCGACGATTATAATTAAGTAATTAGAAAAACCGAAAACCACTTTGAAACTGATTAGTTGAAAATTATTAAAAAATTAATTAACACAAATGTAAACACTTTTTTAAACGGTGCTACTTTATTTTTGAATCGACCACTTTTATTAGTAATCGCTCAATTTTGTGTACAACTTTCGCGGGTTTTTGGTTTACATGCCGAAGAAGAACAACATCGCAGGAGATAAAGATGCTGGTCTAAATCGGGAAATATGGTACAGAAACTGGAAATATTTGAATATGCGGGTGAGCATAAGCACTAATAAACATTGACAAAAAATGATGTAAAACTATTATTTATTAATTCGAACGCTGTTATGTATAGAGACGGTCTAATATTTCCTAACCTAAAATCGCTGTTGAACAATTTTAAATAGGATATACTTAGAGTTTTTATTTTTTTTTTAAAGCAAATGGAAAATAAGTATACAGAGTGAACCAAATGAATATGAATAACTGACTTTGTATTGCCCTGAAAAATACTTTTTTTTAAATTTTAATTGTTTTTGCGGTGGAATCTATAGAGACGGTCGGATATTTGATAACTTAAAATCGCTGTCGAACAATTAAAATCAAATTAAATCAAAATAATTGGGGTTTAGGAAATAAATTATATTCTTTTATTTTATCCGATTTAAAAAACCACAAAACCTTAATTTTTTTCACAGCTCCGACATTATATTAATTAACCATTGTTTGTGTACGAATAAAACAATTATTTTGATAGATATGTTTACAGAACAAATAATCCCATAAGCATTTAATTCTTTGTAAACAATTTTTACCAAACCGCAAAACGCCGACAGAGGAATTTTTAATGCGAGTGGTATTAAAATTTTATTATCTACCTTGAAAAGTTGTACCTATGCCGTCATAACCTTATAAATGTAAACTCAATCAGCAACCAGAGCAATGACTTTCTTTCCATATTTGAAAAGATTCAGAGCTTACCTATTGCTAACACATGTCTTGATCACATGGAATAAGGTCACGTTTATCATTAAATAATAACATTCCACGTGCTAAACTTATTCAATGAACACATTAACTTCTAAGTGAACATACATTACAGACTCTCGTCCCCAAATAATGTCTGCTACGCTCCATCATAAAACTATAAATCTGGTATCACCAATAAAAATGTATAATAAATCCGCAATCTCGGATAAAAACGTTTCAACTCCGTCTGGCGATGATTGTACATCATTAAATGCAATTGAGGGTTAATAAACCCCAAATTTCCGCACATTATTTCGTTATCTCGCTTTTTTTATTTTGTCGGTGATTTGTGAGTTTTACGCTTTAACTATATATGTTTTGATCGCAACGCGCTTTAAAATGGTTCAAAAAATTAATATTTTTAACGGTGAGTTTCCTTTCCTAGCAATTTTTGTTATCAGCTCTCCAGCTCAGTCTAGCTTCGAATTTAATGTTTTACCCGCAATAACGCTTAGCTTGTAACTTTTTGTTTCCTCGCTTACTGTACCTGCTCATTTGCACTGTTCACCTGCATATTTCTATTCCATACTTTTTTTTTCGCTCATAGTCCCCAAACACATTATTTTATTCGTTCTTTTTACTCTTATTTGTCTTTCACATCTCAATTCCACTCACTCTTCATCCCTTTTCTTCTTCTTTGATTTTATGGATTATTTTTGTTTAATCTAAATTTAGTTCTGACATTTTCCATCTTACACTATTTCTTATGTATCTCTTACCTCCATTCTGTGTTTTATTTTTGTGATTTTATTGTTACAGATGAACCCAGTCGAAGGAATCGTTTTAGAGCAAACGCCACAAAAATATTAAAAAATAAATTTCCCATAGCAACATGGCTTCCTCGATACACTTTCGCCATTTTTCTTCAAGACCTTCTTGCTGGATTCACAGTGACCTTAACTGAAGTACCTCAAGGCATTGCGTACGCGCTGGTAGCAGGTATATTCGGTTTTATGCTTTAACAATTTTTAATCCGTTCCATTAGGTAGCAAAGGAGCTGAGAAATCTCTCAATTATCCATTTACGTCCAATTAAAGGAGGAAGAATAAAATTGATAAATGATAAACACACTCTCGATTTTCTTTACCCAGAAGTTCTTTTTAAAATATCCTTTTTTATGACAAAGCCTTAAAGCGAATTACAATATTATTTCCTCTTCAAGGTCTTCCAACCGAATATGGGTTATATGCTGGTATTATGGGAGGATGTTTGTATTTTTTTTTCGGCGGCTGCAAGGATATCAATATCGGTCCCACCGCCATATTAGCTTTGTTGGTCCAAAAGCATGTCACGGCCATGGGTCCCGATGGTGCGGTTTTGATTACATTTCTATCGGGGCTCCTGATATCTCTCGCCGGAATTCTCCATTTGGGTAATTTATCATTTTAACATAGAAAGTAAATTTTTCTTTCCAAAAGTCTGGACGCTCCAAATTGCAAAAGCTATAGATATTTTTGCGCAAAAAGACGCGTTTTACTTATCATGGCTGCATTCGTGCCAAGGATTTTTAAAATGTAATAAACCAGAAATTGGGTTTTTGCAAATTTGAAGCAGATGTCAGTATCAAATTCATTGGCTAGTAGTCTACGTACCTGAAGTAAAAAAAAAAACAAATTTAGACTATTGTTTTTTGATTTTCATCAACTAATTTTTGGCATGTCAAAGGGGTGCCTAAAAACAAATGCACTTTAAACGAGTCACGAGTAATATCTAAATATCTAAATTGCTATCTTAAGTAGGTACCTAAGACGTTTGATAGTGAGTTGTTAGAAATGCTTAAATCTGGCGTCTAAAAAGCTTAGCTATGGAACTATCCAGGATGAAATCCAACTGGGTGCTTCAGGTAATTTAAACCAGTCCTCATTGCCGGGTTTACGTTCAAAAACAGAAATTAGAGATAGAAAAAATGATACAATTAAAATGTACCTCGAATTATCATAACGGATAAAATGAGAATTCGTGCACCAAAATCCCATGTCGGCATATATTTTTGGTTTTGCAGATAAGTACTTTTTGAAAACAATATTTGTTTACCCGTTTCGAGTGTCAATTTATTTACTTTAAATCTGTAGCAATGAACGAAGCACATTTAAAGTAAACGCTAACTAGCAACTCAAAGGTTTCGATTTGACTGATTCTCTCCATGACCGCCCGAAATGCATTAATGCACCTTTTTCTGGTTTCAGGTTTTCTGGTGGAGTTCTTCTCATTTCCAATAATCTCGGGATTTACGACGGCGGCTGCAATCAATATAGCGTGCACCCAATTAAAATCCCTTTTAGGTATCTCTGGCAAATCTAGTAATTTCCTAGAGGCATGGGAATCTGTTTTCAAGCATATTGGCGAAACTAGAAAATGGGATTCCATATTGGGGTTTGCTTCGATCGTGTGTCTCTTTGCGCTCAGGGTGAGTTCGATAACGGCGTTAACGTTCTCGCCAATTTAGGATACTTTCGATGTACAGGGTTTAACATTTTCGAAGATATTATATTTAGGAATTGGGACAGAGCAACTGTGCTACTTTATTGATAGACACATGATAAAGCAAAAAAAATGTCATAGCCGTTATAGATTCCGAGCTGCAGGACCATATTTAAACTATTTTTCCCTTGTATATTTCTTGTCTGACAATTTATCAAATAGATTAATTCGAATCTTATTAATACTTATTATTTGGAATCCAGTTTGTTTTTATTTTTTTTTAAATATTGATGAACTGTTGGGTTTTTTAATGGAACACCAGAGGAAACTAATTTTTATATCAATAATTTAGAGATAAAATTTAAACATTAATGCCTAATTACCATAAGAAAAAATTATATAGGCCTTTTAAACATTCTTCCGAAAGTAATTTGCATTAGGTATTAGGTAAATTTAATTCCAAATATATAGTAATCATTTAAGAAAGTCCGATGATTACACATTTATATAAGATTCTTTGGTGTTGGGCGTCCATGGAAAAAAATTATTTGTTATATCGTTATACCTTCTCTTCAGAGGTACAAGAGTGTTTTTTTAAAATACAATATTCTTCAATATTCCAGGAAATCAGAGTATTAGGATCCCTAAAGTACCGACCGGATTGGACCAGGAGAAGGAACATTATCGGCAAATGCGTATTTTTTCTGTCGCTAGCCGGAAACGCTTTAGCTGTAATAACGGGTACTACCATAGCGTACGTAGCAGAAACCCGGTACAATTCCACCCCCTTCATACTCACAGGTAACTGACGGAAAAACTAGTTAGAACAATTAAAACTGTTGAAGTTTGCCCCTCGCAGGTGCTGTCAAAGCTGGATTTCCACCATTCGGAGTTATACCGTTTGAGACTACTTGCAACGGAACATACTTTAATTTCGTAGATATGCTGTCGGAATATGGAATGAGTATCATTTTTTGTCCGATGATTGCGTTCCTTGAACATGTCGCCATCGTTAAAGCTTTTTGTGAGTACTGAGGCTTAAAATAATAATAATAGTACGCAGTGAGATAATATTCTACCTACACTTTTATTACTTATTTCCTTCGTGGCTGATAAACTGAGCAATACTCATCGATGGGTTTAGTTATTACCGAATGTTAGTGGTCAAGTTTTTGCTACACTCCTCGTCCATGCCAATGACGAGACATGGATTAAAGAAAATTATTAAAATATTAATTGCGAAGCCAAAGCCAGCGACAGTCGGTTACCAGAGGTCTTGGTTTCATATAGGCAAGATACAAACTGCTTGACTGCAGAGTAACATGTAGATATTGAAGGTAACGTGAAGCAACTAACCAGCTGGACCCCATTAGGCGGTAGATGATCAACAGTGTAAGAGATCAATTGATTAAGCCGAATAACTATCCAAAGTCCCGATTACAGCTGAAAAGTGATTGCTGATGGGAAGAAGGTTTGAATGTAGCGCCCTGAGAGAGGAGAGAATAGAATGTTGTTGTATAAAAATAACAATTTGCAAAAATGCTGACATAGGCAAATGAGGGAGGAACCAAAAAATAGGCAAAATGTGAGATGATACTGTTAACACCAACGCTATGTTGAAATAATACTTCCAGTAATTGTATCAAACCTGATTTTAGAGTTTATATGGACCTTTATACGTGATGCGGTTATCATCCAATTTCATTTCGATTTCAAGGTTTCTTCATTTCTTCAAAGGATATTCACTATCCATAGCTAATCTTCACTTACAAAACCCTAAACGAAGCCTTTAAGAGAGAGTTTATCCAATTATTTTTCAGCCAAAGGCAAAATCATCGACGCCACCCAAGAACTGATAGCCCTGGGTATTTGCAACCTTGGAGGATCGCTAGTCCGGTCGATGCCGGCGACAGGCTCGTTCACAAGAACGGCGGTCAACAACGCATCTGGTGTCAAAACCACCACTGCAGGTTTACTTACTTCCCTGATGTTGCTGCTTTGCATCGGGCTGTTAACGGGTTTATTTCAATACATACCGAAAGCCACCCTCGCGGCCGTCATCATAGTCGCCATGTATTATCTCTGCGAGTTTCACGCCTTCATAGCGTTGTGGAAAACCAAAAGTAAGTCTAAACTACCTATGCAAAGTTGCTTTCAGACCTATTGGGAGTATTATTCACATTATGTAAAAAAGAAAATATATGAATACGAAATAATTCATGAAGGTGATTTTTATTTACAGGTTTTTTCGAAAATGAATGCCAATCCACCGAAAATTTAAAACTGCTTATATATGAAATTTAGGAAAATAAAAGCCCGTTGAGGACAACAATAATAAATAAATAAAATTTATAACCATGTTAGATGGGATAACTTTAATAATTTACTTTACAATAGCTATAATTGACAAAAATTCCAAATTTGCAGCCTAGATATTTCTACACCTCCACAATCGACCTGAGATTTAAATCTATTTTATTTTGTTTGATGTAATAGTAAATTATTGAGAATGTCAAGTTCCAAAAGTAATAGATCTCTCCCAGTGAAGTTGTAAAATCAAAAACATGAAACCTTGTTGTTCCTTAGAAATACTAAAAGGTTGTCGAACTTCCACTGGTTTTATTATTTAGCTTACACGACGTTTCGGCTGGTTGTATTCCTAGCTACACACAATTAATTAAATGTTCTTTTTTAAAGAAAAGCTTTAAGGAGGCAGTACATTGCCACTGTTCAATTATTTGCTTTCATCCCCTGGTTTTAACTGATGTGTTTGTTTTGTTTTGTTTTAACTAAAAAGTCTTGTTAGATTGATTTTATAACTATCTTTTTTCTCTTATTATTGCTATCCTTTTTATCTGTATAGTAAACTATAGTAGGGTCCTGTTCCCTCCTCAACAGTTTATTGCCTCTGTTTATATATTGTATTTTAAATTTCTTTAATAAATTTCGGACAACCTTAGCACAACCAATTTCGTGTTATTGAATTAATATGTCAGAGTTGCAATTCCAACAGTATATTTAGTTATTGTAGAAGCCTTTTTATTATTTGATATTTATTTATTTCTTGTTAACAATTGACCAAACCTGGTAGAGTTAGAGTTTTCAACAGTTCCAATTACTCACTATTGAGACATACATCAGCAACAACAGTACTTCTCTGTTCTGATCCCCATATATTCTGAGCGTAGCTGTTGACATTGCTTACCTGAAACAAAAAAATATATTATTAATTATTATGCTCGAAACAATTGTCACGTTTATTACGTTATTAAATTTCACTTTCTTGTTTAGAATTGGATCTGATACCGTTCCTCATAACGTTGTTGTGCTGTCTACTAATCAGCCTAGAAATCGGCATCCTAATAGGAATAGGAACGAACATGTTGTTCGTACTCTATGATAGTGCCAGACCGGACTTACACATAGCGAAAACAAATTTAAATGGCCGCGGATTCTACCTGGTAAAGCCGAAAGTAGGTTTACACTTTACATCCGCGGAGTACTTCAGACAAAAGATCCTGAGCGAATGTGAAGACGCCAAAACTGCAGTAGTAATCGATGGAGAGTATATCAAAAATGTCGACGCCACTATCGCCAGGGTGAGTTTTAGTTAGCGTTCCTTACTCTCTACAGTATTTACCAGCACCACCGTGAATTACAGGAATTGCTATTTTTGACGTTAGGTGGCGGGAAATTTGAATGAGGTCCAGTTGTCCTAAAACTATAGAGAAAGGTAGTAAAAACGGAATGCTTCATAATTAATATCGATTTATATCAAAAATAATAAATATTGAAGGCGACAGTAAACAAATCAACACAAAAATAATATCAAATTGGAGCTAAATGCATAATAATATATGATATCATTCTAATATATTTTGTCTAAGCTAATGAAGGTTGTTTATTATTTTAAAAATTGCTAAACCCAGTTCAAGTGGATGTTGTTTATAAGTAGTTAGAGCACCGAAAAATTAATAATAGTGTTAAATTTTCAACTTACCTTGACACATAACGTACCAAAAAAACGCCTAAATTGTTGCATCTAAAGTCATCTTCTAGAGAGTTGTCCTATGATTGTTAAGCTACATTTCGTTAATCGTTCAACAAAAACTATTATAATTTTTATTTTAAGGAATATCGGAAACAGTTTTTATATTTTATTTCAAAATTTGAAGTCTGGAATGTAATAAAACAGATACATTTTACATATTGTGAAAAATTAAATAGAATGAACTTACTGATATAGGAAAAAGTAAAGAGTTGGATCCCAAATTGGAAAATAAAAGTCATGTTGAGGTTTTTATTAATATTTTATCTAGACTTTCGTCTATGAATTTGGGACTAATGAATAGCTCACGTGTAAAATATTCAATGTTTCATATTAGCTATACCATGAGACAAATTCCAATTCGATCTAAACATATCATCTCAATTATTTATAAATAAATTGTTTACAAAACCTCTGGATTCCCACTGCTTCGGTTATTGTTGAGTTTTGCCAATCATCCTGGTAGCAAGTTCGACTCAACAACAACCGGCACAGGAAGAACCCAGAAGTTTTGTAAATAGTTTTGTAGCCTGTGGAAGTGTGGAAGTTATTGAATCATCCTATCCTTAAACTATTATTAACTTCCAAATATTAACTTATATAACAAATAATCAGTAATGCTGCAACTTGAAAACAAATTAAACTAAGACTTTATTTTCAAATTGGGCTTCCTGCAAATCTATGTTCCATGCCAGGATATGTTGCTCTGAAACTCTCAAGCTCTCTTATGTTTTTCCGCCGCCAACAATACCGAAACTTTCTGGATAGTACTAATGCCAGGCAGTTCTATGCACGATATTTATGTCAACTTTTCATATTTATCCTGGGTATGAACCTATTATTTTACCGTAAACAATAGCTCAGCGATAGCAATTTTTCCTGGGGATTACGTTTATGACACTAGCGTTTGTTAACCCAACAAACGGCTTGGGGATTTGCCGAAATAGATCGCCTCGGGAGTCCCGCAACACAATTAAATATTATTTTAGTTAATGATTTGTCTCTATAAAGGCTATTGTTAAACGTGGTGTTAATTATATACCACTGCTGGGAAATATTTCCAACGTTTCGACGCCATTTTTAGACATTTGCCCATTTGCTGGACGACCTTACAGTGAGGAACCAGAAGTTAGTGTTTTGGAACTTCAATGAAAACGTATTTGAGATATGCACAAGGGACAACAAGAAACTACTTCCTCATTTCGAGAGGGAAACACTGGAAAATATCTTCGAAGGTAATTCTGTAAAACAATAACTATTACCTTGCGATTACATGCTTGACGCATTTCAGCCGAGCCGAACGTAGAAACTACGAATATCGGAGCATTAATGTGATACTATTCTACAGATTTAATCGATAACACTCTCGATCAATAGAATTAAGCAGCCATAGTATAAGTTTCAATTTTATAACTCAAATTGAACTGAATTGTAAAATAAAAAGTGTAAATAAAATTAGCTTATCATTGCCAGTTTTTTTTTCATATCTGCTTACATTAGTACTTTTGCGAATTTTTTTTTTGTTTCCCTACCTTAACAGTTATATATTTTTAATAGCTTTAAAGTTTTTGAAAAACTTGTATTTTGGCCAGAATATTCCTTGCCATATAGAGTAAAATACCCTTTATATATGTTGGGGTTGCTGACGAAGCACCACCCTGTTTCCAGGGACGAGATTGACGACAATTCGAGTGGATTGTAATTACTGTTTTATTTTTAAGAAACACTTAGAAACAAAGAAAACTTAATAACAAATTCTGTGACGGTTGGCTTTGCTCTTCAAGACTTCTCGCCCTCGCTCCGTCTCGCTTCTTTCTTCCGACCGTCTCTGTCGACGTCTCGCAAAGCTCTCTCGGCTCTCGTCGTGCCGCACCGCAGTCACACTCATTAAAGATCCTGATTAACCAGCTTTGAAATATATCAAATGTATTTCTATAATTAAATCAAAATTATTTTAGTACATTTTTCGTTGCCTGTGACGGACTTTTTTATTTGTTCTGAAAATCATAGCACATTGTTTATTATATTCATTGAATCGAAACAAATACAAAAAAACTAAAAGTAAAAGTAAATTGGATATTCTATTTCTGCTACTAATACTGTGGCGAGCAACTTCGGACATTTCCGTTAGCCGTTCATGTTGACGTGTGATTCTGATGGACATACCTAACTCGGTGAATGTATGGGTGCGGTTATTTTTAATTCCACACCGATCTAGCGTGCGAGAAGCGTCACTTTACCACGTGAGTTTCTTCTCCCACAGATTCGAACCACTTCGGACATTTCCGGGATATTACCGCACGGGTTTGGGAGCAATCGAATGTTTTCGGAGATTTTAGCGCACGGATTGAATTTTGACGTTTGTCAATTCTGACGGGTATGTCAGTGAATGTATACTTGTTTTGCAAAAACGTTCCTAAAAACTAACGGTCATAGAAAAAGTATAGTATGAAACACGTTTGGTAAACTTTTCAAGTCACTCATTTATTAAACACTCGCTCCGCTTGTGCCAAATAAACTCGTGACCCAAATGCCGTTTACCACACTTGTTGCATAATATTTTAAAATTGATTCTAACTTTTATTCTACACTAATGCAACGCAATATGTTGACTTTTTATTGACATCTGGTAGAATTTCATTATTTTATTGCAAAACACGTGAAAAAAATACGAGTTTTCAAACTTCAGACTTCGTACTTTCGTACGTTTCTGAACTATTTACACAAATAAATATAAATTCGTATTTTTAAAACCCAAGAAGTCGGATTAAAAATATTTTGGCACACTTCCTTATCTCTGATCCATTGATCTATTCTTTAACCTCACCGACCTTGTTATCGACCACGGGTGAGGAAGCATTAAGGAAGTATAGCATTAGGGAAATTAAGGGTCCTAGGAATTTGAAAAAACAAATAAATAAATCCGAGAAGAGAAAATGAGGCATCTTAACTTTTAAAACCCGGTCTTGCTATAATCAACATAAAGTAAGTACGCTTCTAAATGCAATCACATACAACAACCGAGTGAAGACTCTGCATCTCAGTATCCTAACCTAAAATAAACTTAAAACTCTTAAAAAGTTCAATTTTGCCTAGCGTTGTTATTAATGTAATGTATTTAATGTCTAGTTGTCATTAATTAACCTAATTAAAAAAACGGTAATTTATTGTTTAAGATACCAAATGATATTTGATATTGAAATTGAAAATGAAAATGAAATGAAATTTGATATTGAAAATTGAAATTGAAAAATTTAGTTGTACATATTTAATTCTGTTTTACAAAACACCTCTATACATTACATTACATATATACACATACATTAATGCATTAATTAGGTTGGTTTTGGTAAAATACCTAACCGATTATCTTAAACGGGTATTTGTTGTAATGTTAATCCTAAATTCGTAGGTTTAAAAGTCGCTCCAAAATTTCTCATTAAACATCATATAAAATAAATATTTTCGTCCACTTTTTTTAATCCTAACCAGTCTGAATAAACCAACGGAGTAATACGTTCGCGGGAATCTGGCAGGGGGGCGAAGGGGACCGGCGGCGCACGCCCGCCCCGTCAGAAGCTCGAAATTTTTTAAAAGCTTTTAATTTTCGGATTCGCCCTCCCTCGGTCGTCCACCCGCTGCCACCCGCGGGCCCCTCTGGCACAACACCGAAGCGCGAACGAACGGTTGTCAACAATTCGGAATTCGAATTATAAAATGTCATCGCGAACGCAAACAACGGCGGGAAATCAGTATTTTTGCATCGCTTGTTCCGTAGATGATGAATCCCCCCCGTGCGTCAGATAGTTGGGAGCAAAAAATATTGCATTATGAACTAGCATAATGAAAAGCAATCACAATTAACCGCCGCGGCGCTGCACAAAAACCATTTTTTAATATTTTTTATTGTTTCGCTTGTTTATTTCGCAAACAATAGAGCTTTTTTGGTTGTTTGTGTTGGCTTTCGCACAATGGGCAACAATTAACATCTATTGAAGTATACAGGGTGTCCGTTGAAAAATTAAAAGCCAAACTTGAATAGGTTATGTTTCTTTTTTTTCTTCTTATGGGGCCGTCTCTTTTCGAAGAGTAGTAATTCAAATACCTAACGTGGTTCTAGATACCTGGAAAAAAAATAATAACAATAAATCAAATCAACAATCAATTTGGATGGAAAGCTTGATGCACTGAACTGTTTCTCTCAAACCTAGACGTCATTCGTCATCCATTCATTTGTTACGATCTCATCCCCTAGCCGGGCAGACTCTGCCGTAGATTAGTTTTAAATATATATATGGACGGAAAATATGATTAAAACGCGTTCTGACTCCCAGCCTCTTGCCAATGTCCGAAATATAGCTTTCCGGACGTTTAACGGAGACCAGAAGGCGTTCGAGGCTTTTTGCATTTACCAGAATGCATTCTGATTCTCCCAAGTCAATCCTGAAGCATTCTGGCATGCGTCAATGCCAAGACGAGTCAAGCATATAAAAAAAACAATTTTTATTTTGTATCTTGGTAGGTAGGTGGCAAATTGAATATTAATAAGTATCTGAAATTTCTTTTTCGCATATTGTACACAAATTTTTCTCTTGTTGAACTTCATCATGTTTATCTTCACTTTCTGCTGAATTGTGCTGATCGCACAACTTTTGTAACTTCTCGTCTGTTCCGATGTTAGACAAAAGTTCTTCAGGAAGTGACGAATCCTTGAAACCGATCTTCTGAGGCACGCCGAACATAGCTTCATAAGGACTTTCAGTTATTGCTGTATGCAGAAAACGATTTTTATTGCTTTGCACAAATCGCAGCCGTTGAGACCATTTCGTTGTGTGTTGATAAGCAGCATGTCCCTTACATCTTGATTTGATCTCTCTACGGTCCCTTGACTCTGTGAATGTGTTCCATGGATCAACTTCAATCCGCTCTACATTTCAGCAAGATTTTTGATTATACGGTTTGCAAATCAGAATTATAGGTGCGCCTAACAAACAAAAAATATCAAACAAATGATAGGAAACTTCTTCAGCTGTCAAATGTCAAATGATGCTGATAGTTGAGGATGAAACGAAATTGTTTCGCCTGTCCTTTCAATTAGCTTTTCCGTTTCGCCAATTTTTAAAATATTATCTTTTTAATGGAGGTCTTTTTTTCGAAGATATTGTCTCACCGTTGCTTTTACAAGCTTTTACCGCCTTCACGCTGCAAGTATTTGGTCGCATCTTTCTTTTGTAAAAATATTGTTACGAACATTACTATCACTCATGACTTTTTGCATTTCATCATTAAAACGTAACTTAATATCTTCCATGACACTTTCTAGCGACTTTCTAACCCGCACACAGATCAAATACTAAGTGCAATTAATACTCTTTTTCTAGCTTCGTATAGGTAGCAGCGTACAAGCTGAGACACGCACAAATTCGACGACGCGTTATGGCATTCGCAGTAGAACAGAACGCGTTCTGGCAATCGCAATTGGTCCAAAACGCATTCTGGGTTTCATTAAACAGCCGGAAAGCGGATATTGGCACCACAACGCGTTTTGATTATATTTTCCGTCCATTGGCCGAAATCGGTGTTTGCTCCTAACATATATATTGAATAAAAGTGGTGATAAAACGCAGCCTTGTCTTACTCTTCGTGGTTGTTGCCTCCTCTAGGCAATAACAATTACTACAAACTTGTATACTGGATGCTTATCTTCTGGACACTATACTGCACATTCCCATTTACCTTTAAAGAAACATTAGTATATACAAAATAAAAATATCGTTGTCAATGCACAAATGCAACATTTTCTGGAAAAATTTTAAAAAATTCCGTAATACCCTCACTGTTTCAGATTTCGTCTTCCGCGACGTAAAATTCAATTTGGTGTCGGCAATTTGGAAACCGGCACTACTTCAGAACAGAGTTTACAGCTGCTAAGTTGGAGTAAGATGTAAAAACACCCCTTAACAAATTGGATCCGCTCTGTATCTATATCCGCCTAGATCGCGTTTGTTTTTATTTTTACTGCCAAACTTTGCAGTCGTAAAACGGAACCTTTGTTTTGATACGGCGCTTCTCGCGAAACCGGATGAAATATTTCTCCCGTAATGCAGATACAGGTGTGCGTTATTCGCTTCGGCTGCTTTTTTCACATTTTAATCTTAGAACCGCTTTTTATGGTTGTTCAAACCGAGCAATTTTGTTGACATCAATGGATTTAATGTGTCATCCTTAAAAACTGCATGTTTGTTTGTTACATATAGCTACTAGATGAGTTGAATATAGACGCAGCATTACTAGTCTGAGGTTTTGGGCTTTAGAGAAATTTCAAACGCATGATAAAATTTTAATAAAATAGCGTGTTTTTATTAAAATGGTATAAAATTGCAGATTATATTCAATAACACTACTAAAGGCTTCACGTTTACGTTTAAGCAAAACTCGGTAACTTCCATTTTGACTTTTAACCCCACA